TAACAAAAGAGAAAGTAACAGTTTGGTTAGAGAATTAATTTACTTGCTAGCACTGAGGTAGGGACTGAGTGTAGAACTGCATTTCTCAGTTATTCGAGGTTAATTGCTGGGCTTTTTTGATTATATGTCTTCAGTTAAATTGCCTTTTGATTTATAAACATCCATAATAGTGAAAAATCCTTCCAAAAAACCAATGGCGCATGTTATCAAAGATTGATTGTTTGTCCTACCGCGGCAACAGTTTATATTAGTGAATAACACGCGTTTCTAATTAGGCGGTTCCTAAACCCCTGGGGAAAACTATCCAGACTATAAATCATACATCGGCTTTTATTTCAAAGTGACACTTCAAGGAAACATTAGATCCAAAGCAATAAAAAACAGAGGATACTATACCAAAATAGACCAAGGATAATTATATATACTATATTATTAATAAATAAATAAAATAAAAAACAACATAAAGAACTACACAAGAATTTTGTAAAAAAAAATAACCTATTAATGATCTTATGATTGCGTTAAAATATAAATGTATATAAATGTCCTACATATCAGGATACCTCATTGTCTAATGCAATATTCACAGGACAGTAATCTGCTAAAAATACTTCAAAATCTCAGTTAACACACAAACCTTCCTGCAGGTATTCGCATGCCACTGTTTGGGTTACACAGTTTACAGTTGCTTTGTACTCATTATTGTCAAGCATAATAATATGAAAAACACTCCATAAAATATGTCCGTCAGGGGCCGTCAGTTTACTCCCAATGATAATAAAAAATCCCGCTGATACAGACTGGTGTTCATGGCCACTCAGTGTTGTACTTTACACACTACAGCGATTTGGTTCAGCACAGCATTATGATTAGGATTATGTTTTAACAAGAGGTTACATTTGTCCAGATTAATTGACACCATAGCCCTCGTGGCTCCAAAACACAATCCTAGCTCCTGATTGGCTACTGTATCTGTCAGTCAAAAGACAGTTACCACACGAGGTGGTGTGCCTCTTACCCCCCTGCTGCGTTCAAGTTTCCCTCGTAACATTTTTCTTCTCATTTTTAGATTACCACCAGCTCATGGCACATATTTACTCATTAATTACATGATGAATAAAATACTTGGCACATTGTGCAAAGCTACTTTATGTATCTTAAAGTGTATAAATGTGCTAAATATCAGGCATATAATTGGTTATTTAAGCTATATCGTAGCCTATTTGTAAGGTTTGGCGAAAAGTTCGTAAGTCTAACCGACAAAATTCCCGACGACACCTGAAGGCAGCAAAACTTCCCCCCTCCTGTCAAGTGAAAGTCAGTGACCCCGCAGGAGGGACCAGCTGCCAGCCTTATCTGCGGTACATGGGAGTATCAGAGCGAGTTTGTGGCTGTCGGTTGTCGCAGCCATGAACTGCCTGAGAGCGCTGCGTCTGTCCAGCTCCGTCCAGCTGATCGTCAAAAACACAGACGCGGTGAAGAAGGTGTTCATCATCCAGTCAGCATGTTGTCTGAGCACAAAATCCACAGCGGCGTCCCTGCGACGACCACTGCCTGCGCACTTGGACCGTTTCCATCACAAAATGTGAGTGTTTCTGTGTGATAAACATCTTCATCATCTGCCTGGTGTGGAGGTGTGGGGATATACCTGCACCTCTTATTATCACATATCAACAGTGGTGGAGGAAGTATTCAGTTCCTTTGTGGGGAAAAAAACACTATAAAAAATATTTGCAATGCCCTAGCCTAGTTGTATACAAAGGATCGTATTTCACAAAGTCTTCATTTGTTTCATATGCAGCTGTCAAATGAACGTAGTGGAGTAAAAAGCTTAATATTCCTCTCTGAAAAGTAGGAGTAGGAATGTAAAGTAGCATCAACAGAAAATACTAAAAAATGTAATACACAGTAGTATAGTTATATTCCTGCTTACTCCTTATTCCTTACTGCATTTCAATATATATCTGTTGATATATTAACATATTGAATGGGAAATACAGAATAAACAATGTAAACACAGCTGCAGTCTCAGCTATTAATGTGGCACAACTGATATAAGAGTTTTTAAAGCGGCAACCTCCAAAAGAGTTTCAAAAAACTGTCTGTTGACTATCTGTCAAAAAGAAACCCCACGAAGATAAAAAAAAGAACTTGCAGATTCAATATGGTTTGTCAAGAGCAGTCCTGAAAATACTAAATAACATATATACAGACTAAATATAATGTTGATCTTGTTGTTTCTTGTATAAGTCACATAATAGTGACATTAAAAGTTTGCTTTCAGATATTTATGAATGAAAGAGCCAGGTGGGCAACAGTCAGAAACTGAATTATCAATTTTAGAATAAATTATTATTTCGGCTATATCTTTTATAGCAGTGTGTTTAGGAATAACACACAAAAGTAATCACTTTGCTGTTTTCACTTCATCAGGAATGCCTATTCAAAGTCTGCAAGCTCTGGAGTGGAAGAAATGCTTTTCTACACCATCACAGAGGGAAAAGAGCAAGTCCCCATTTCATACTTTACCTCAGTAAGTAGCTAAAGAATCTATCTATCTATCTATTGTTATTATGTTTTCATCTGGTCGATTGTTGTTTGCAGGCCCTGAAGAGAACCGGCCTTCACCCATTAGACCCTCGTCTGAAGGACTGCATGGAGAAGCTTCGGCAGGCTGTGAAGGACTCTGCTGGTGAGGTGATGATGGACAAAGACCTTTTCCACAGGTGAGACACTGGAAGAGAAGGACAAGGGGTTAGGACTGAATCAAATACTTCATAAATTAATAGACAACAACAGCAGACTGTCATTTCCTTAAAAACTGTCCCATTTTATTTGGAAATACACTTGATGTAACTCATAATAATGTTTTTGTTATTGCAAACTCAACCTGTGTGTCCGCACTGGCTGTCTCATGGTGTCTTGTTTTCCATTCACCACTCGGTGAAGGCATGAGACCAGAAATTATTTTTAGTCCGCCCCTCCAACAACAATCCATTGTAATGAAGGATTTGCTACTGACCTGTTGCATGATTGTCTCTCTGCCAGTCTCTTGTTTTGCCTTTCTTTTTTCTTGCATTGACCGCTAGACATACTTTACATTCCTGATTATGACTATTTATGACAAGTTTAGGAATAGTCAACATGAAGAATGTGGAGGAAGTCAGAACTACAGGAGGCCAAAACCTTTATAATGTAATTTTATTCATACTTTTGTAAATGTTAAATGTTTGGTGCGACTGACTGAAAGGTCTTGATTTAACTCCATTGTAGTTTTTAAGACTGTAGGGTTTGCAATACTGCAGACTGGTCATGCCATTACATACAGTATTAGTCATTTCACCTAAGTAATGTCATAGAAATCTATTATAGATAATTTGTCATTTCTTGGACCCGCAATCAATCTAAAACATGTTTTCTAATCACTGTGGTCTCTGTTGATTAATATATAAGTAGCCAAACAAGTCATTAATAATTCATGTTCACACTTAAGTAAAAGCTAACAATCATAAAATGTGCTACATGTGGTGAAATATTCCTTTAAATTGGTTAGTCCAAACCTGGAGGTGTGAAAGTCGGTGTTATGCAGCACGTGTCAGGACATGTCAGCTTTATTTACTGTGTGGCTCAAAGTAAAGGCCTGTTGCTCAGACTGATAGCTTGCAGCTGCTGCTCTCACACCAGTGAATGCAAAACACACACGCACACACAGTCACAGACCACATGTACTATGTCACAGTGTTTCTTCTGCAGATATGTCCAAACATTCAGCATTTATCTCGTCCAAGAAGGACATTTGATCATGTGGTGGGTGGTCATAAACTTTCTATCTCTATGGGGAAAATAATTCCTCTGTGGGGTTGAGTAATGAAGTAAGGTGGAAGGAAAATTGATACCATGCTGAGAGGGCTATAAACTGCTCTGTGACGGGAATGTGATCTGAAATGCCACATTGTCGCATACAATTACAAATGTTCTAGATTCTGCCTCACTTGCCCCATTCATTCACCTGGCACAGGTTTTTATAAAGGTCACTCAGTGTTGCACGTCCTGATAAGGAGTTAATGCGTTTTTTGGTGCCCTGGTAGCTCACCTGGTCGAGCTGGCGCCCAATGTAGCGAGGCGTAGTCCTTGGTGGAGCGCCCGTGGGTTCAAGTCCGACCTGTGGCCCTTTGTTGCATGTCATACCCACTCTGCTTTTCTGTCACTCTTCAGCTGTCCTATTGATTAAAGGCAAAAGCCCCAAAAATAGTAAATGCCTTTTTTTTTTTTCTTTGTAGTAGCAGAATGTAACAAATTTCAGTCAATAATTTACAGTATTGTTTAGTTAGGTTTTTAATGTACATTTAACAGTTTTTACATTAGTATGTAAACTTGCAAAATGGAGTGTAAATTAATACACAAGGCTTGAGTGAGAAAACAGTTTATGAAATTTGAAAGAAGTGGTCATTGCATGCATTTTGTGTAAAAGCAATGAACAGTGATCCACAGTGTAGTCCTCACTGACTTCTGTTGTGCTGACTGTGAAGTTTTGAAAATGTGAACTCTTATTTATCTATCCATTACTATTGAGAAATGTGTGTTACGAATTGTCAAAAAGTGTATTTAATTTCCACTAAGTGCTCCTGAGTTCCCTTTGCATTATGCTGTTTTTCTTCCAGGTGTGTCGGTGGAAACATCGTCCTGCTGATCCAGGCCTTCAGAAAGAAATTCATCATCCCTGAGTTTGATGTGTTTGCTCGAAAGATAAATGAAATCTACAACACAGTGCAAAACCAAACTGATGGGAAGGTAAGCATGTGTTGTTTGTTTGTTCCTTATTGTATAGAAATGGAAAATGAATGAAGTATTTGATTGAATAACACAGGGAGTGTAGAAACATACAGAACATTGTTGTTTAAGCGTTGCACACATGATTGTGATGTATATGATAAAGTCAGGAACAAGTTACTGTTAAAGATTGCCTTTCTTTAAATTCAGGCTGTCATGCCACTATTTGCATGCATCAGATCCAATACTGAACATGTATAAAAAATAAACGGTGTGATTTTACTGTGGTTCTCTTTTGTATTTTTGGCTTTAGGTTGCAGACTACATTCCCCAGCTGGCAAAGTTCAGCCCAGAACTGTGGGGTGTGTCTTTGTGTACAGTGGATGGCCAGAGGTAAGAATTACAGGTTTTTACTTGACAAAAACAAACAGCTATTGCAGAGCTTTCAATTGATTGAGATTGATTTGATTTCACTGATGCTGGGGAAGTGATGTGATCAAAAGCTCCTGAACAGTTACTGATTCAACAACTACTGTTTCTTGCCATTGATCAATACGCCTAACCCTCAAACTGCTGTTGAGTAGCTGATAGACATGACTGTGGTAGTACTCAGCAATAGTGCCAAGACTGCAAAGTATATCTTCCAGGTATGATTGTCAAAGTGACATCGGTTGGATGTTCAGTAAGACTGGAAACTTAAATGTCTTTTTTTGTCTTCTTCCTCCAGGCATTCAGTAGGCGACACCAAGCAGCCGTTCTGCCTGCAGTCGTGTGTGAAGCCCCTCCAGTATGCCATCGCCGTCCACGAGGCGGGAACAGAAAAGGTTCACCGTTATGTAGGCATGGAGCCGAGTGGATTCAAGTTCAACATGCTTTCGCTTGATGATGAAGGTGTGTAAGGCCTCATCGCTATGAAATCTGTGCGATATCAATGTTATTACTCACAAGATGATTCATGTCTTCCTCCAGCTGAGACAGAATTATTCCATCATATTTTCACCACATCAAAGCTCTTTAAAAGCTTTCTTTTCTTCTCTTTTTGTATTAGTAATTAACCTTTAATACCGTAGTCAATTTGTTTACATTGTTTTTATTGTGCTTCATTACATTGTTCTATGAAACGGATACATACGTCAGCGCTACCGGCATATTAGCACTGATTGAAATACATTAACCAAAAGAATGACATGACAGTTACATAGCTTGCTAACAGACACTTTGCATAGAGAAATTAAAAAGTTAAAGATCACCCCAAAGAAAACATTAATGCTTTTAATCTAGTTTAAAACATTGGTTAGTGGTGCATTTGTGGTAGAAAATTAGCATTACAACAACAAACACATATAACATATTTTCACAGATAAAAAAAATTTCAGGGCTTCCGTATTATATGCTAAACTAGATAATAAAGAGGATGAAGTAGATTAATTGATATCTAAAGTGCTCAAACACCCAAAGAGCTCTTATTCAGTATGAACTCCTCAGCATTATGTCTTATCTTGTTGCCCTTTCACCTAGATAAGCCCCACAACCCCATGGTGAATGCTGGAGCCATAGTGATCAGCTCTCTTATCAAGGTAAACAGATGGACATGTACCGACTGTTGTTTGATAGTTGAGTCAGCACATACAGTAAATCACTCTCCATTTAAGGTCCAGTGTGTAACATTTAGGAGGCTCAATAGGCACAAATGGATTATAATATTCTTAGGTATGTTTTCATTAGTGTATAATCCCCTGAAATAGGAATCGTTATGTTTTTTTTACCTTAGAATGAGACATGAACCGCCATGTTTCTATAATCGCCCAGCACGGACGAACCAAACACTGGCTGTACATAGGGACATTCCCATTTTTTGAGGCCACCGTAGTTCCTCCTGCGCACTTCACAGCCTGTTCTCTTTCCCAGTTCTGCAATCTGCAACTACACTGCTAGATGACACTAAATCCTACACACTGATGCTTTAAAAGCCAGTTACACAGAAATGTAACAAACTTTTACTTACTTACGTCCTATGGAGTCACACTAGCATTTTAGTACTGTTTCCATTTTCCATCCATTTTCCATGAAAATGTTCCCACTGGTCATGGGAGTTTGAAATCAGTAAAAATCATTAAAAGTCACATAATATGAAAATACTTTTCTGCCAATTGTTGCGTACACATTTATTGCATAAATGGCAGTTGGTTGTTTTCAACTTGAACACTGCCAAGTATTCAAAATGTTCTTCTTGTTTTTGTTTTATAGAAAATCTGTGAACAATTCCCACCAGCCCCATATGGCCCTGTAATGTGCAGTATGTTCTAGTTTAGAGCCTGCAGGTTGTTTAGTGAGTCTGTCGATGTGATGATGATCTTTTCAACAAAGCCGGGGGGGGAAATGTCATAAAGAAGCAGCAGAAAGTTATTAATATAGCTTCAAAATGTCAAAATGTATGAAATATTTTGAGAAATCTTATCTTACTGACTGAATATGGATGCTCTTCTTTAAGATTTTCAAAGCATGTCTCACAGATTCAAAACAGAAAAACAGTTAAATGTTTTTTCACAGTTGTCTGTCGTCCTGTAGTCCCTGAACTCTCCCTGAGCCCTGTGGTTTATGATCACTGCCTATCTTTCCTCGTGCTGTACCAGCTGATAATAGGATAATTTGCAATCAGTTCAATTCATGTAGTGTTTCACACTGTGAATGAAGTCATATTCAGTGTTCATGAATGTGGCAATTACAATCAGCATATTTTTACACAAGCAAGTGACTCTCTCTTTGTTTTCAGCCTCGTTCCAATAAGGCAGAGAAGTTTGACTATGTAAGTAGAAGTAGCCTCTTCTCTTCTGTTTCTTCTCTGTTAAGATCATGAATATGTGACTGTGGTACGATTATTATCTCAATTATCTCAGTCAGAGAAAGTGTGTGCAGTACACATAAAATTTTGTCTTTGTTCGCCAAGGTTATGGAGTTTGTGAAAAAAATGTCAGGCCAAGAGTATGTGGGATTCAGCAACGCCACGTGAGTGTACTGTTAATTTTATGTTAATATATACTTTCATTTTATGTTAATATATCTTCATTTAGCACACCTAGAGTTGAAAGACAGTGTTAATTGCCTGTCCACTGCCCTATTGCATTATTGATGTCTTAGTATTGACCCATTCTGCCTCTCTGTCTCAGGTTCCAGTCAGAAAAAGAAACAGGCGACAGAAATTTTGCCATTGGATACTACATGAAGGAGAAAAAGGTCAGTTACAGAATGGGATTATAAATGTGTTTTATTTTTTGTTGCATCTGTTTGACATAATGTTTGACATACCTACTGTTTGTCCTGAATGTTTTGATTTCACATGTATGCTTTTTGTCTTTTGGCACACACTGTTATGCCCAGCTTGTACAAGAGCATACCATAAGAGAGTGGTCCACACAGTAACCATTTAAGTAAACAAATTTGATTGAATACAACTCAATGTCAGCAAACTGTATTGTGTTGAGTCAGCAATCAGGAATGAAGGAGTGTGGGTGTTGGTTGCTATAAAAGGTTTTAACTTAAACATGGCGTAACATGAACCAAGGCTAAATAAACACAATCAAAACCAAAGTGGGTGTCTGAAAGGCACCAGCCTTCCAGGAAGAAGAGAGAGGAAGCCATCTTGGAATCACCCATCTTATTTATGCTGCAAGCAGGTGACACCAATCCCTCAACAAGGTGTGAGGGGCCAACAATCAGACCTGAATCAGGAAAACAGAGCCAGGCCAACACCAAATATAGTAGTGTCTTAAGGCCTAGGGCTGTCAAAATATTAAAACAGTTGCAACAAATTATTACTGTATCTTTTCAATTTATCTGCCAATTATCTTCTTGATTAATTGATTCTTAATTAGTCTTCAAAACATCAGATACTTTTAGCAATTTCATGTTAGTTTACAGTGATAAAAAACAGAGAAGCCAAACCTCAATGTCCTTTGCCATCACTGTATGAATGTAAAAGCGGAAGACTAGGAAGGACAAGTATACAAGTACAGCTCATACCATTTGCCTCTCCATGCACTTCCCACAGCCGTCTGTGCATCACCACTCTATCATTTTAAAAGGAGTTATTCTCAGGGCAGTAATCCCTGGTCTCAAGCATAATGATCCCATTTAGAGATAGTCTTACGAATTGGCCAAGATAATCAGGATTTTTTGGTTGAGAAATCATAGTGTATCTGAACAGTGTTAGGCCGGCATACTTCTGTCAATCAAATAGTCATGATGATCATATTTCATTCAACAGTGTTTTCCCCCGGGAGCAGATATGATCGACAGCCTGGACTTCTACTTCCAGGTAAACTGCTCTACCGATCATGTAGAATAATTTTGTAGTCCGATATTGAATTAGCTTTAATAAAAATAGTTTCAATGGTGTTGACCATGACCTGATCCTCTTTTGGTTACAGCTTTGCTCCATTGAGGTGACCTGCGAATCAGGAAGTATCATGGCTGCCACTTTGGCTAACGGAGGGATCTGTCCAATCACAGGCGAGCGTGTCCTGAGTGCCGAAGCAGTGCGAAACACTTTGAGTCTCATGCACTCGTGCGGCATGTATGACTTCTCTGGCCAGATGGCTTTTCATGTTAGTAACACTAGGAAGTGACTGTACCATCTCACCACGCCTCCAAAACGACAGAAATAACATTTAACTAAAAAATGAATCAATGTGTTCACTTAGTCTATAAATCCCACACCTTGCTTTCATCCCTTAGGTGGGCTTGCCGGCCAAATCCGGGGTTTCCGGTGCAATACTGCTGGTGATACCCAACGTCATGGGAGTGATGTGTTGGTCTCCACCACTGGACAGAGTTGGAAACAGCGTCCGGGGAATACACTTCTGTGAGGCAAGAGAGAGACAGAAAGAGCTTATTTTGTTCACATTATAGTTGTCCTTATGTTAAAACATAGATATTATAATTACAGTCCTCCACTATTTTCCTCCCCTAACTATTATAATGTATCTTATCATCCTCAGGAGCTCGTGTCACTCTTCAATTTCCACAATTATGACAACTTGAGGCACTTTGTAAAGAAGCATGACCCTCGCAGGCCGGATGGAGACGACAGGGTTTGTTGCTTTGTCCTTTCTGGTATGTTTAATGAGTTTTCTTCTTTGTGTTCATGTTCCTTCCCTGTATTTGCAGAACAAGTCTGTTTTCAATTTGATGTTCGCCGCCTACAGTGGAGATGTGTCGGCCCTGAGAAGGTACATTTCCAGCAAACCTGATTATTGTTTTCTTGTATAACAGGTGTCTTTCAGCATGTTAACACCAGGCGTGGGTATTGAAAAACGAACATAGTGTCTGAATGGTTTGAAAGTGTAGTAAACAGCTTCAATGCTGCTTGGCATCGATTTACCAAGTCTCTGGACTTCTACTGCACCATTTTTCCAAGTCTTGATGATGGTAAATGTCAAACACTTTAGAATTTCCCACAGGTGCTCAGTTGTGTTGAGATTTGATGACTGTAAAGACCATTGTTCATGAATCACATCATTTTCTCTCCATAACTGACTCCTCTTACACTGTTTGGATGAATCTGCATTCAATAATGTTTCTCCACTAATTCAATCAGAATCATCCAACATTTTATCTGTCACACGCCTGGAGTGAGTGAAAAAATTAGAAGGGTAATTTCTGCATTTATATCTGTCGGGTTTATAAAATATCTCATCAACATAAAGATGCATGTGGATTAGTACAATGCTAAAATAGGTTTTGTAGTTCTATATTTATATTACTTATTTATCATAAAAGTGAACAAAACTTTAATTTATTCCTTCAGGTTCGCGCTGTCAAACATGGACATGGACCTGAAAGACTACGATTCTCGAACAGCGCTACATATCGCTGCAGCAGAGGGTGAGCTCCACATGATCTGTTCCTGATATGTATTGAATGAGCAACACTAAATCAGTTCTTCAATCAGACAAACTATAAAGCAGTCAGGCAGCAAATCTGTCTGACCACTGGGCAAAAATAAACATTCTAGCACAAAGAAATCATCAGCTCTAAAAGGCCAAAGACGGCATTAAAGAGCATAAAAATATGAATTCCAATAAAACATGAGACAATGATAGGAAATTATACCTAATAAAACATTTGGCTATTTAAAACAGCTTAAAGGCACTGCTGTATACCTCGACAAACCCATGGTACACTGGTGTTTTGACTTGTTCCGACTGATTAGACCTCTTCTCGGGACTGTCAAGGATCGAGAATATATTTATTATACCCGAAGGGCAATTTATTGTACAGCCAGCAGTAACTGCATAACCACATAAACATCAGACAACAATAAACAAACACTAAACCAGAAATACAATACAAAGATCATATAAAGATATTGAAAAAGGCCAATCAGCCAGGATAGACAGGGCCTTCTTCAAAGACCTCACCTTGTACAGGTGTGAAAGGTAATTTGAGGTTGTGCCTGTAATTGTGCACACACTTTGATATACCCTGTAGTCTGTTCCTGTGTTTGAGGACAAGTAACCCGTACAAGCTAACAAAGGAGAGTGCAAGGACTGACTCAATAAAAAACATGCGCTGGTGAGTTTTCATATACACAGCGTCCACAGGAAACGTGAAGGTCAGCATGTCATCAGTGATGGTGCCAAGATATTTGCACTGCTGCACAAACCCTCAACAGCCTGATCATTAATCATCACAGGAGAGGTGGCCAGAGGAGTCTTCCTAAAATCTAATTTCATAGCTTTAGTTTTGGACACTTTGATGTCCAAGAAAGATGACTTGCATCAGACCGTGAATTCTGCCACTGCAGGGCCGTGATCAGGGTCATCACTGCTGAGAAGACACACAATGACAGAACTGTCGATAAACTAAAATGTATAATTTTACGTCTCACATGTTCCTGTCTATATATGAGAAATTACACCATTATTGTTGTTATTGCTTCGTGAATTATAATTTCAGCATATCTGCTTCAACCTGGGCAGAGATCCAATTAACCAGAACAGAGTCTGCCACAGGTGGAGACACTTTAAACTCTGCTGAGAAAGGTTGATCTGCTTGTCACACGTGTCCCATCCCATCCTGGTCGATATAACAGATATCAATTACATTTCACTCGGTAGAGGTGAGACAAGTCTGTCACTACATGCTCAGACATGCTCGCTGTGGTTCAAAGAAAACAGCATGTAGTAAGTTCCTTTAAAGATTTCAGCTTTAAAATACATTTTTGATGAGGATCGGTTGATGCGGCATCTCAAGAGCACCTTTATCACACACCCACAAACTTCCATTAAACCTAGTTGAAAGGATAATTTTACTTGCATTGTATGATGACACTTCCTTAGGTTGCCGTTCTTCATGCCCACCCTCAATCATTAGTAATTTAAAAAGTAGTTCTACTCCTAACTATATTTTTATCTCCAAGTCATTGTCATGTGGCAGAACGATTAGAGATTTTGTCTGTGACTGATACAGAAAAATACTTACACTTGTTAAATTACAGCAGTAATTAGTGCCAAGTTAGTTTTCACTTCATTTGTTTTCATGATTAACTGTAGAGGCACAGTAACTTTGGCTCACATTTTACAAAATCACAAATAAATCAACTCGCAAAACCCTTACAGAGCACCATATGGTCGATTATTTGTCTTCTGTTGTGGTCTATGTTTATTCACAGCACAGATTTAATGTTCCACGACAGTGTCTTCAACAGTAACATTTTTCAAAAAGAGCCTTGTAAGTAGATTATTTGTTTACAGGATAAAAAATGAGAGTAATAACTGTTTTCTTCCAAATGAAATAGGCAGAGCTTTGCACTCTGGGCGGATTACTCACACATCAGCTTTTCTTTCTCGAAACCACAATAGGTTGTGCTATTAGATAAACTTACGTAAATCGTGAATAGTTTGCCAGTTTTGGGAGGAATGATTTCACTGATCATGTTGCTCTTTTATTGCTTTATGACATCAAAGAGAAAATAATGTTTTCTGAGTGGATTTTCTCCTAATTCTCCGTGATCTATATATATATATGGAATATATATATGACATCTTTTCTGTTTGTTCTCAGGTCACATAGATGTGGTGACGTTCCTCACTGAAACCTGCAAAGTTGATCCATTTGTAGAAGACAGGTGAGATCAACGTCTGTCTTTGGATTCTTAAGCTTTGAATTTCTTTATTGTTCAATATGTTTGGCATTTGATCCTGATAAAATATTTAGTTTTTCTGCTCATTTGGCTTATGGAGAATTACCCAAATTTTGATGCATATTCTTTCCCGACATTGTGATTTCTAATCACAGTGGGGCTACCTGGTTTGAAAAATGTTTGAATCATAGTTAAATGTTTTTACGATGAACTGAAAATGTACAATTATCTCTCCAAACAAGATGTACAAACATAACCACAACCCCACAAAATACTTACTTAAAGTAACTTCTGTGTGCTTATTTCTCTCGCCATATTTACCTTTACTTATTGCTCTGCAGGTGGGGGAACCTACCAGTCGATGACGCCATGCAGTTCCGACATGATGAGATAGTGAAGGTGCTGAAAGACTACCAGCAGGTCTTTCGGCAGCAGGAAATGCAGCACACTGAGGCTGAGCATTCCCCGAAGCTGGACACTATTGAGGGCATGGTGTGATGTCTCTTTAATAGAGTCCTCAAGCTGTAACATGTCAGGGCATTTGTGCAATCTGTCAAGTTTTGAAATTGGAAGCTCAAATTGTAGCACATAAAATGTGTGCCATACAAAGAAAAGAATATGACAATATACACATGAATGAACTATGCAAACTGCAGTAAAGGAAGAGATTTTTATCAGTGAAAAGAAAAATGGTAAGGAGATGCAAATAGAATATGAAGTAGACCAGAAAATACAGTGCAGACAATAGCCAGAGTACAAATACAACAAGCCAAGAGAATACAACATTTGTGGGTTTGTGTGAATAATAACATACCCTGTGAACAGCCTAATGTCAAATCAGTGTTGCTGGAATACATCGCCAACCTGGACACAATGTTCATGTTATGGTGAGATTTATGTAGTGTTGTGGAGTGTCACAGAGCAGATTTGATAAACTCAAAAGATCGATATTTATACTTATAATGCGTCTCATTTCTTACGACAGTACATTTTTACTGTTATCTATTTTTATTATTCCATTGTGCCTTGTTGAGACCTTTGAATATATGTAAAACTATATAATCTTAAAAAAGGAAAACAAGGGAAGGATTTGTACATGATCCCAATATACATATTGTCAAATACATTGTATATATTACGTTCTTCAGCTGTAAATAAGTACACTGGATTCTTGATACATAAATACTATATATAAGTATTATAATAACATTTATGCACATTTAAACTTTGCGTGAATAACAAATTCCAAAGAGTAATTCATTATGTGAAATATTTTGACATTGAACATCTATTAAACATATTTTATTTATCTGCCACGCATCGTTTCAGTTTGTTTTGATTTTATTAGGCAAGTCGATGCGTCATGCAGTCAGCAATTTGTTATTAAATATTAAGCAGCATGTAGTAAATCAGTTGAATGTGGGAATACATGATGAAGAAGCAGCAGGAGAGGTCTGGTGTTGTCAGGGGGAGGTTGGTGTTGAATTGTTAAAGAGAGACATTATTAAAAGAGTGTGCTTTGCATAATTATTATATTTTTTAGGGAAAGAGACACCGAAAATAAATAATGTAATAAGAGACATTCAGCTGTGGGCTAGGGAGGATAAAACTAATGTACCCTGGGTCACGGCCAGCTCATTTTAAAATATTTGTTCTCGGTTAAGCGGTGTTGACGGACTGCTCATGTAGCTGATCTAGGCTGAGATGCAGGCGAACACAGCGGTTTCAGCCACAGTACACACATGCTTCAGTTTTCCTAGCTTCCACCAGATGGCACTGTGCTCCCATCAAAGACATTTCTGTAATATCAACTGATGAACCCACGGCATCAGTTTTACCTGTAGATTCCTGCAGGAGAGGAATATTACGGAGCAAAAAATAGCTTATATAAGACTGACCTGACATCCAGAGAGACTGCTGGTGGTCCTGATAGATCCTCCACCTTCTCTAATGCAGCAACATGCAAGAAGTCCTGCTTCAGCTGGGCAGTCAGGAAAACAGTGATGAAGAATTCCTTTCAAACTGCTGTGTTTATTTTAAACGTCATTGTTTTAATCGGTTGGACCAATACTGCTCCAGCATGGGAAAGGCCTGTATTATTAGCAATGCGACACAAAATGTAGACAAACAGCATTTTGAATGCTTAAAGGGAAAATCCAGCAACCTTTTCCTCATTAATCTCCACTGATAAGAGGAGAGGAGTGTATTTGGTGCTCTTTGTTTTCTCAAAGCACTCAATAAAATCAACCATTAGTGGGCAATCACTACCTTGTGGAGGCTCATGCAGCTTTCTGCCTTAAGGAAGACCGTAGCTATTAATCTGTGCTTTCTGAAGTGCTGGCTGTTTGCTGTTGTATGTTGCTGTTCACAGTAATGGCAGTCTTGGATACAGTACTTCCTGGAAAAAATCAATTGTTTCACCATGGTAGACAGGTAAAGATATCCATTGTTTCATTTTGTTTTGATTTTATTAGGGTAGTCCATACATCATGCAGTCTGCAGTTTGTTATACATAAACGTAACATATATAACATAAGTTTGTGGGTAGTTTGAATTTGCTGGTATTTTCATGAGGCCAGAACCAACAAAGATAACCTTAATTGGACCCAAACCTGCTTTTGACCAAATTTCAAGCTATGAGTATGAAATAAGACCACAATCTGAGAGTGTAGGTATAAATTAAGTGAAATTTGTTAATGTGTTAGTAATTTATACTGCCATTCAGGCATTATAAACTGTTCGAGAGAAAGTTTGTTTTTGAAGATTGTTGCTGATATTTTTAGTCATTTTTGCAGCGAGGCTCCAGGGATGTCAGTGTCTGTCTGTGGGTCGGTTGATCCTTTAACTGGGCTCGTTTGATGGATTGCCATGAAAGTTTGTACAGACATTTATGAACCCCACAGGAAGAATCCTAATGACTTTGGGGATCCCCTGACTTCTCCTCTGGCACCTCTATGAGGTTCACATATATGGTTTTGGGTGAACTGTCTCGACAACTATTAGATGGATTGCCATGAAATTTGGTATACACATTTATGTCCTCCCCAGGATGAATTGTTATTACATTAATGATACCCTGACTTCTCTTCTGATCCCATCATCAGTCTATGTATTGATAAATAAATCGGAATCGGAATCAGAATCAGAAATACTTTATTGATCCCCGGGGGAAAATTGTTTGTTGCAGTTGTTCAAGGTGCTCATACAATGTTAAAGAATAGAAATAATACTTTGTTACAATATCTAACACAATATATAGAATATAAATGTATAGGTATATACATGTAAGTAAAAAATAAATAAGAAATATAACAAGTATATGCTAATATATACAAAGTAAAAAGTAAATAATATAGCTGTAAATAAATACCTGCAAAACTAATGACATTCAGCCATAGCTACACTTTGCTAATTAGGAACTGTTAGTATACTAACACACTGAACTAAGGTGATGAACATGGTAAACATTGACACTGTGAGCATTTTAGCATGCTGACAGTAACATTGAGCTCATCACCACTGTGCCTGAATATAGAGCGGCTAGCACAACTATAAACTGTTATCATAAAGTAGCTGATGTTCTCTTCTGGCGATGAAATTATTCAACTATTTTCACATGAAGGATTTACAGAAGCCTTTTCTGACAGAATTGAAGACCCCCAATTACTTGACAATTATCTTACAATGCAGCAGATAATTAACAAGCACATTTTCTAACACACAGCCAAAATCTTATTAGTGTTTTGTCTGCTAGTTCCAACTAATTTCCCACCCTGACATTAGTGATGGTTTCTTTGACCAACTGGAGGTTGTAGCTACAGGTTGCTGTGGGACTAGATGTGGTCAGTTGGCAGGGAGCCCAGCTGTAGTAGGAGTTGAGGAAGGCTTCAGGGGACAAACCTGTGGAGATCCATAAGTCAAACAGAAATACCAAAACAGTCTCAATGTAAAACAGCCTGTTAGAGCACCTCTGAGAATATTAAGCAGAATGTGTATTCTCACTCGCTTACCCCTGACAGTGTGTTAAATTGAGAAATGAACATTTTTCATCACAAGAATATGATTAATCAAGCAGAAAACATGATGAATTAGTTGTAATTAGTCCTACAAGTGAACTGTTTCTCATTAAAGTAGATAATATGGGCTCCTCACAGAGATATTAAAGATACACCAACATTTTGATTTAGTTCCATCAGCTAAGAAAGTGGAAAAAAAAAATGTTAGCCATTCATTTTGTGCTGATTAAGTCATGTAACAATCAGTAATTAGTTTCGTAATTGTGGACAATTGAAGTGATGTGCTGAGATTATTAAATCTTTAGGAGGCATTGTGTTGTTTTGGTAAGAAGTTGATTATCTATAGAACAGTTAGAGGTTCCTTCCCTTCCAGTATGCATTATACCCTTTTTTTAGCACACAGAATCAACAATTTACTTTTACAGTGAGATCTGTGATCCTACCACAGTCTAACATTAAATATCTCACTTTTCTCTGTTTTCTTATTGTAGACAGTTGTAGAAAGTAAGTAATAATATTTAGTACTTTAAGGTCTCCTTTATGTTCTTGTTCCTACAGATGGAGCTTCACTATGCCAAATCATGTGTGCAGATTTTTCACAAATAGTTGGGAAGTCAGGTCCAGGATGCGACTTAAACAACTATGATGTAGAAACGTGAAGCCAAGTGCACTTAAAAGCTTTAGAAATTAACATAATTTGCATATCAATATATTCTGGAACCTTTAATGAGGTAGAAGGAGTAGATGCCTTTTTAAGCGTTTTGTGGAAATTATACTTTTTTGTCAGAAAAATATTATTGTTCCAAGTTGGCTATTATATATGTCTTAATACATTCTTGGAGGGGGTGTAGAAGTACAATTTTGAGGTTTTGAGGTTTACTTTAATTGTCTGCTACTTATACTTTTACTCCCACAGCCACCACAGACAGTATATAAAGTATTTAAAAATACCTCCACCCAATCTATCCAAAACATAAAAATTCTTCTTACATGTTAATATGTCAGTGATAATTAGCCAGACAATAGACAGAAATGTCTATTAATGTACACTGTCCCTATAATTTCAAACTCTATAAATAAAATAACAATCCAGTCACATTATGTACGTTTTTCCTAACCATTTTTGACATTTAAGAGGTTTATATTTCCCTCCAAGCATAAAACAAGTTTGGATGTTCCTCTCAGTCGTTAGACATGCAGTTGGTGTTTCACAAAATTTACACCAGATGCCTGTGTTACAGCAGGACAATATGACAGGCATTTATTGTAGGATGTAAAGCCATCATTGCCACCATATGGCTAAACTGCTGCAGAGACACAACAACAGTTTTTACAGACACACACACAGACACACAATATGGCATTGTGTACTACATGACCAGAGAGTCAGCATGGATCTAATCCGGATTTCTTGACAGATATACCTGCAATACCTGAGCTACAGAGGGATCTGTTGGGACGCAAGGGGCAAATGAGTCACCTCCCTTCATACAAAAGTCTTAAATATTAAAGGTGGTTGTATGGAGGGATGTAATTTATAGATTTATTTTATACTATAATAACCACAGAGATGGTGGACTGCTCAGGGTAATGTTGTTTTGTGACTGGATTCCAAATGCTGTATCATGAAAGTACCACTGGAAACCCTGGCACGTAGTAGGCTGAGTGTGTTTTTTAGGTTTTGACAGAGTTTTTTTTAGGAAGGGCAAATAGCAATAAGTTGAATCCAAATGTAATTGTATATATATGCATTTTAGACATTTATTGCACAAGGTCAGTTCCTTAGAAATGTTGTGTTTCTTTTCATTTCATGCTTCTTTTTGATATTTTGTTTTTCATCTGATATCTAGTTCATCTTTTTTGACAGTTATTTCCCCCTGTGACTGTGGCAGGTTGACTTATTTATAGGCTATATAACTTCAGATTGACTTAAAATCATTTTTTCAGGCAGCCTATAAGGTTTTCTAGGTTCTGATTTGGAGAAGATCTGACAAACTCACACATTTAAAAGTATATTTTTGTAATGAAAAAAGGCATCCATCTGAGCGGTATTGAGAGTATTCTGGATTTTATGTATTTTGCATTGTTTCCTGCGGGGACTCTGATCTCCCCTCACAGTCCAATGATAGAGGGATGGACTCCAGCCCCACATGACCCATTAACAGGAACAAGCATGTATCAGAGCACACTCATAAAAACAGACTGCATGAGAGATAAACATGTAAATGTGATTTTTTCTATCTTTATGACCCTCTGAGGAAATGTTATGTGTGAGTATTTGCATGCTGTAATGGTAATGT